AAAAATATTAATCTTCTGTAGTCTTCTGTCAAATGCATTTCTTGGCCAAAATGTCCCACTTTCCAAAGTATTAATATATTAAACACAGTTTGTTTTTCATTAGTGAATGTGTAAAACTATTGCTTGCTTTTTTTTTGTTATTACAGAATGTTTACTTCAATAATTATTTTCAAACTTGACACAATGTTTAACATTTCTTATCCCAAGACTGAAAGCATTGCTGACAGGGCGCTAAAATAGTGGTGTTCCCACACACACACACACACACACACACCTTCAGCAAATCCAAGATTTAAATACTACTACTACTATGATTATTATTATTATTATTATTATTATTATTATTATTATATGAAGAAAAATAGATGAAGCAAAACAACAGATAAACAGCTCTGAAGAAAAAGAAAAGATAGGTGGCAGTATAAACTCTAAGACCACCCATATACAAACAAAAACCGGGTGCTGCCAAGAGATGAAATGTAATATTGGCTATATGTAATAATGTATTAAGGTAATATAAGAAGCACATCCAAACAGGAGAAGTCAGAACAAGAGTGCAAATTCTGTGACACACTCTAGTGCCAAATCCCTACAAAGTGATGTGAACAATGAGTCTGCGACAAATCTGGATAAGCATGAACAGGATCATATGAGAGATTTGCTACAAAGCCTGACAACAGATACTATTATCTGAAGCAAATCTGACATTTGCACTAGCTGTTGAAACAGCTCTCAGTATGCAAACTGGGACCATGACATGAACTACTTAAAATTAAAATAAGGAACATGACAAAACAGCCTGAATAGAGTGTGAATATAATCATGACTTTGCTTGAAGGTTGTAGGTTGTAAGCAAATAGTTTGTTGCTAGCTTGTTCTAGCCGATACCTATGTCTAGTATCTCATGCATAACTTGAGAGATTATGCTACAATGCTTTTGATCTGATATATGGATTCTATCCAGCTTAATCTTGCATAGATAAAGAAGAATTTCTTTAAGGCAGTGAAGTAAGTCATTGACAATGCCTTCAGGAAGGACAAAAGATGAACTCTAAAAAGGCTGAGACGTTTCCAAAAATGCAGGCTCAGGAAAAAAAATGTGATTTTGGTAATAATGCCAATGTCAAAAGAACTACATATTGTGCATCAAGAGATGCTTATGATGCTGTGCATTTTTGAACTATCACAGGGCAGTGCTTCCCTAGAGATCTTCAAGTAATGAGAAAGTCCAGTTACAAATAAATGAACTATACCTGACATTGTAGAATGGACATGTGGATAAACCAGAAATACTGGCACACATTTTAGGTTGAGTTAGTGTGTGAATATAAAAAGATGGCAATCAGAATTGTAGACTATAGGAACCACCTGTACTTTGACCTCAGGTGCAGACAGCATGGGCTCATTCCCCTACAGCTGAGACCTGTGATGAAAGATCACAAGACTAACACTACAAACTGGACATGTGTCCTTTAATAGGGCATACAGATATACTAACATCAGACTTTAAGTGTCTACAACTTAAAGACACTATAATGAAGGGGCAAGAACTCCAATAGCTGCTAGAAAACTCTACCAAGAGGATAATGATCTGGCAAACTCTTTGAGAGGGCACTCTTCCAGTGGAAGTAATGACCTGGTTGTTTGGAACTGACACTCTATAACTTTTCTAACTTTTTTTTCCTGGTTGACTGATGAAAATTTGTACACACTAACTCCCAGGAAATGAACAGAATCAGTCAGATCAGACCAGAGCAGGCCTTTTCGGACTGGTCTTGCCAGTTTTGTGTGCAATATGGATCAGACGGTTAATGAATGGTCGATATTGCATGAGGCAAGTCATTAGTAACAACACTCTTATGGCTTCCGATGCACTGTGTGACCAGTCTTCCTCAAGGTACTGTACAGTGTGACATTGCCAGGCCACCACAAAGACCATTGACCGTGACCGCATATCATAGCCTAGAGCAGCAAAAGCTTTGACTTTATACTTTGTTTCAGTTTTCTCTTGAGGCATCTTTTACCACTGCTATCTTCTGCTACCTGACTGATCATTCTCTATGATTCCCTGAGTCCCCACAGAATCTTGTCGCAAAGCCTGTATTTTCAGAAATCAATTTGTGTGAATCTTTCATATTAGACTTGTGATGTTGTTAGACTCAGCACTGATGTTCCCATATGCAAACCCAATGACTTGAAATCATGGGGGGTTGATGAGACGTCACATAGAGACAGCAGATCACTTATTATGGGCGGTTATTTTCAGCACAATGAAAATAACTCTTGTGATGGCATAACCACATTCAGAGATGAATATTTACTCATTCTCTTTATGCATGAAGGAATTACATATTTCCACCAAACAAGGTCTATGTTACGATTCACCAAATAAACTGTACCCTCAATACAATGCAACTATTTATAATACTTCATATTAGCTGTCTCTACTTCCAATTACTTCCAATGAAAATGTCCCTGAAAAGACACCACCACTGCAGATGCCTATGAGGATGCCCTTGACTAGGGGTAGATAGGGGTTTTTGGGGAAGTCCATTGAGGGCACTTATTCTGTCGAGGGAGTTGATGTGGTGGCCTGTGTTGGTAGTAGTTCCATAGTAGAAGATGATGGTTCAAGTCAAGTTAAGTCAAGTCATTTTTATTTCTATAGCGCTTTATTTAATAAAGATTGTTTCAAAGCAGTACCAGAATCAATTATGCAAACTTTATAAGACAAATTCAAATTCTGCTGAAAAGCAGCTCTAACAAGCCTATAATGTCATTATTCAGCACAATTCAGTTCAATAGCAGTGTCAGCATTTCGAAGTTCATCAACTATTAAACAAGTTCAGTTTCAGCTATAAAGCAGCTCTGCAGAAGACAAGAGTGTCATTATTCAGCTCAATTCAGTTTACGTTTTATTCACACTCAATGGTGTCAATGATGTCAAATCAATAAAAATTCCTGAATATTAAGTGTCTTTAAACCAACCCAGGCTCATTGAATATACGTGCGTGTGGCAATGTTTCTGTATCACTGATATTATGAACCTTAGTGCGTGTTTCGCAGCATTTTCAAAGTGAAATGTCCAGTGAGTGGTGGTAAAATGTGTTCAATATGTGACTGTGGCCATGTTTTTATTACGTTGGTACAGGCAGGTATTGTGGTGTTTTTATTAAGTTTCTTCAGGAACGTATTGCTGCGGTTCAGAATTCAAATGTCCGGGGAGTGTTGCTAAAAGGTTAATGCTTTATCGTGTTGGAAAATAACATACATCCTACACCAAACCCAACACTAAACCTACTCGATAGTGTTAGCAAATGCAAAAGTGATTATAAAAAATGCATTTGCTGATGCAATGGTGCTATTTTAATTGCCTTCTACACGGGTTTGAGCTGTTTTGTCAAACCATAGTTTCATGGGATTTGTACTGGAGCGCTTCACCTCACAAGTGCAACGTCATATCACGTGAGCTATTGAGCAAACCTACTGTGTTAGAAAACCAATACATATCAAGCTGTATATGTGAGGATAACGTTCAGAAGTATCAGTTTTCAAATCTTGCATCATGTTAAAATCATTTTGAAGTCATAACATAATATTGTGCAAGGAATTAAAGTTTTTACCTAGCACGTATGAACCTGGGTACCTTTAAACACTAACTAGCCGAAGGCGACAGTGGTAAGGAACCCAAATTCCAACAGGTGACAGAACTGGTGTGTGTCAATGCTTGACTTTTGATCCCATTAGCTGGAGAGCAAAAGTCCTGGACTTCCTTCTTTATCCTCAAGGTAGCAGGTGAGACGGTCACAGTGCATCACATTCCGAAAGCATTTCTTCAGCTGTGCTTGTTACGCCTCATCTCCTGTCATAACATGACGATGCAGGAGCCAAACTATTGGACAGAACCTGCTGTCAGGGTTTAATGACCAAATTCACTGTCCAACCTGGAACTGACGGTTTTGGTTGTGCCTCTGTCTTCTCAGTTGGTCTTGACACCATTGCAGAGAGTAGGTTGAAGATAAGTCAGCATACTAGGGCTCTCATGCAGAATGTGATATTCTCACTTCAAGGCATAGATCAAAGATAATGAGTCTTTCCTTATCTCAACAGCAGCCAATTATAGCAAGCTTGCGTTTTTAGAGTCTTCTGCGTACTTCACAGCCACTTTTTGGGTTGGTATCACTACAGAATATACTGTATATAGGCCTACTGTAGGGCAATGTGACATTTATGTTTTTGTATTCGCAAACATATTGAAAAAGAGCCGTTATTGCAGACTGCAGAAACTTTATATATATACAACTTAGATTCTGTAATAAACTTTCCCACAGTCCTCCGTGTAACAGATATTGTGTAATTTCATACTAATTTGACTTTCAGATCAGCAGTTCTACTTTTTTAAGTGGAGCAATTCATAATTCACAAACTTTATAGGTTGATTATGTTAAAATTAACCTTGATTATTATTGCTGTGTAATTCGACTATCGTTTCATGCTCTGTATAATTTGACAGATTGTGATGGTTTCTTATCACTATTAGAAAATTATGTTTCAGACAAAACACAAAGTGCCGCCGCATGGCTGTGGTGATTCATCTTGCATACCAGAGCCAATTGTGTGTATGATTAAGATGCATGCATTTCTCCATGCAGTCTCGCAACCAATTATCTCCTCTCTTAAATGAGCCCATAAAGGAACACAGCTTCACACATTCACTGAGACAAAAGGAAATAAAGGACGGCACTACGTCTTCCTCTATGGCACATTTGACAAACAAATCTTTCTAAATTCAGTTCAGCAGCAATGAAAAACTGATCTCAGTTTTCTCATGTGGTAATCTGCCACCAATTATTTGTAACCATACCTGGTTGAAGCATGATACATTATATAAAAGAGGCAATACATCTGAGGAAGAGACCAATATTGACGTGAGCGAATAAGCGTGAACCTAATTTATATAAACACTTTGAAAAATTAAGCAATAGTAAGAACGCACGTACCATATCAGTGTCTGATACTGGTCCGAAGCTTGTCACATAGATGTTTGTCCTCACCTCAGTCACACTTTCTGATTGGACAAAAAGACAAAGAAAGAGTAGACATAAGAGCAGAAATAACTACTATGTAAAATAAATATTAAATGCATTTTGAAGCTAGAAATCTGTAAAGACAACAATGTGGGGTGTATGTGGAAACTTGAAAACCGGTCTCATCGTATTCACTTGTCAGAGAAAGTGTTAACAGCAGAATGAACTGATGGCAATATCAATGGAGTTTTAGGTTAACCTATGGACTTTAAATAACCTAGTTGTTTTTATTGTCGCCGTTTTATTCAATTTTAATATGTTAGTGAGAAGAAGAAAAATAAAAACAACTTTTAGATATCAATCTGCATATGTGATGGGCATCGGTTATGGTCATCTTTGGTATCTCCTCTGAAGGAATTCTGAGTAAAACAGCTCCATATTTAACAAAGCACATACAAAAAACCTGAACTGGAAACGATGCGTCCTGTTTTACAGAATATGGAAGTTTGTTGCGCATAACCCCCATTCACCACTAATGGCCAGTAAAATAACACACAGCATATTCAAGATGTGTTTCAACACCTACAGAAGATGTGGTAAGCTAAGAGATTGTGCTACAAATAATCAGCTGTAAAATTTCTGACCTGGGTTATCATGGTCCGCTAGAAGACTGTCCAACCGCTGAGTCAATTAGTAAGGTTTATCTAGTTTATCTATATTTTTATTTGTTTTGACATTTGAAATGTAGCATTTACAATTATAACATGAACACCTATCACAAAACATAATCAACATCAAACGGTCATGGATAAGCCAAGTAATGACAAACAGTATTAAGAATCAAGCGTATAAAAACTTTTGAAGGGGGGTAAAAATAATTTTTTATCATTTTTGAAAATTCAGCTATTTTTGTCCTGTGGCCTATACTTTGTGGGGGAAAAAAATCATACACATGCAAAATTCAGGGCAGACTACATAAAAAAAAACTGCAATTTTTATGATATGATCATATTTTGTTAAAATTGTTAACTGATTCTGCAAAGTGCAAGTAAACTTACATGCGCAACTGTATGATTTTAAAACCAAATATGTGCTATTTATAACAAGTAATTTATTTTTAATTATATGCATTATAATCATAAATACATTCATCAGTGTTTATTTACTCACTCTACCGTGCTTATGTTTAAGTGGGGAAACTTGTAAATATCTGTCAAGACAGTATTTTGCATTAATCCTGGTCCTGGGCACCCCTGAACTAAACAGCTCCATGAACTAAACAGAATGTGTCAGAAAAGGGAGACATACAAAATATGCAGAGCGGTGGGTCCCCAGGACCAGGATTAAGAACCACTGTTCTAATATGCTGTAATGTTTTAAAAATGTTCTAAGTAGTTTTCTGATGGTAGATTTTTAGGATGGCTTAGAAAAAAGACAACATGGGATCTAGCAATGCCATTAATCTTTCCATCAGAAAACACTTGCCTAAAACGCTTTTTTGTAGTCCTGCCAATATTTCTGTGTTTTAGCTATGTCACCATGTTACACATTTGCATAATGCCCACCTATTGGCTGCTTTTGCCTAACCTAAAAAAACAGTTGGGGAAATGATTTCGCTATGTCGATGAGACTGATTTATTTTTATTTTTTTCGCTGTGAGAGTTCCAATACCAGCACTATACTTACCATAGATATAACACTGTTTACAGATGCTCATGAATCCTTGGGGGCTGAAAACTAATGGTAAGGGGCATTACATTTCTGACACAAACTCTGAGCGGTTGGACTGGGTCAGCTGACCAATCAGAGCAGACTGAGCTTTTTATTAAGACTTATGCTTTAAAGAGACAGGATCTAAAACAGAGTGTTTCAGGCAGAGGGTGAAAAGAGGTGCCGTAGCAATGTATATTATGAGAAAAATAATGTTTTTTGAATTTTAAATCATGCAAGCAGACCCCAAAAATAAAATTATGAACTTTTAATTGACCATAATATGGGCACTTAAAAATGTCATGTGTGTGGAGTAGGCCTTTAACCATCTGAAGTAAGTCATCATGTTCCAGTTAGCAACTTTGATGTGATGAGTACTGTAATACACATCAGCAACTATGTAAAGCAGGGTGGAAATGGAAAGAGTTGATGGCGCTTGAGAGGGGTGACTGGATGGGAGCCAGGTGGAGCCAGCAGGACTCAGGCAGTAGAGGCGATGGAAGCCGTCCAGCTCCACAGTATGAGCCCACAGCTCTCAGTGTGCCAATGTGACTTAGCCCATTTATCAAAAGCATCATGATTTTTGACTGCCCACTGCTGGGCTCACAATTTAGGCTCTGTACTTTTAGAGGTCACTGGGGATTCACTCTGTGAGACCTCTGTGGAGGAGAAAAAAATATATACACAGAGGGAGATGGTCTAATGGACATCTGTGGGACATTTCTATAAATGCCAATGGGACGTAGACTATAGTGCATCGATGCTCAGAAACCAAGCATTTAATGTGCTCTGAATCCAGAATGACCAGGGGATCTGATCAGTTTCTTCATGATGATTAATTTAGCAATCTGTGGGTGCACCGTCAGAGCAGTGGTCAAGACTTCCTCTTTATTTTCATCAGCAATCTTCAACACATGAGGCTCTTGGGGCTCCTTAAGCTTACGATTTGTAAGTGATCTCGGGAGAGCGCTGTTCTGTGACAGATTCTGCTATTGATAAACATTAGAGTGCCAAGAGAAGATGAGTAATTTCACTGTTCCAAAACACAATCTGTCATGGATCTCAGAGGTGTGAGACTTGTGGTAAGAAGAGTAATGAAAGCCAGACTGAGGAAAAACATGCTCCATCTGCAAGCCAATGGTAAGGTCAGCATGTGGACACTGGAGACAATGAGGAAGGAAATGTGTACACGCATTTATCGTACCTCCTAGTCCGGGACGCAATCTGTTGTCGTAACCATCCAGCAAGCGATCCAAGATCCGGGTAAAGATGGTGATGTTGTCTTTGCTGTCATCGGGAATGGGTTCTCTGTGACCTGTTACAGCCCTGTGGAGAAGAAAGAAGAGATTCAGGTCTCGAAAAGGAAGTAAGGATGCTTTGAAAAGAAACAAATAAGGCACAAGAAAACAAATCAGAAAGAAGGAAGGCCAGTAAGCAAGAAGAGACTGAAGTCATAAATAGAAGGATGGATAGAGAGGAAGAGAGATCGATCTTGGTCAGCATCTTTGATCTTTTATTCTTTGAACATCTGTTGCGATTGAAGCCTCTTCGGGTAGGAGATGCAGTTATTATGAATGGGTCCAGGACAAGTCCTAGAAAGAAAATAACAGCTTGACTTCATCTAATGATAAAAAAATAAAAAAATAAATAAAGCCTGAACACAATTCAAAATAGATCCCAGTTCTTTCTACCATAGACCCCAAATCCTAATTCTACAGACACAGACACAAGCCTCAAACCTTAAAATGCAGTTTCTCCAAGGAGGTGGCTGATAGATTTTTTTTAAATATTAATAAGTTGTTTTTTTTTTAAATATTACTAAGTAGTAAAGCACTATATAAAAAATTATAAATAAATAAAATAAATAAAAATAAACAAAATAAAATAAAGAAATAAAAGAGTAATGTTTAACTTAAAGACTTGCAGTCAGACTTGGCTATTGGAATGGTCCATTTTCAGCTTATTTTGGCCAATAACCCATTTGGACATTTGCATAAGTGATGTTTGATATGTAAGGACGTATGTACAATCAGACATTCTGTTGCAAAATTGTTTATTGCTGTTTATGCGTTAGTTAATCAAGCCAGTGACTAAACTGTCAACTTTACATTGTTCCTCTTAGTGGCATGAAAACCATCTGTTATTTCAATTGTGAATACATTTATACACAGGATGCAAGCAAAGTAAACCCCTTTATAATCAGTGTAGCTGTCAATCACCTCAGTTCAGCATGAGTTTATCAGTGATTGGGTTCAACATTGTCAGCAAAACTCTCATTATAATCAATGACGCTGTTTACACTACTAATTAATTACTTATTTTTTTGAATTGTGCTTGCATTGTTTTAGTTATGATAAAATCATTTGTGAGAGTGCAGAAATTCGAGTTGTAATGGTGTAAGTGTTCCACATGTAATACTTATTTCATATGCAAATATGTTAACCAATTATAGCAGTGGACGTGTACATTGAGTTCTTAAAGGCGACATATGCCCCTTTAAACAAAGTGTTGAAATCAAAGGGCTAAAATCAGGGTAGAAAATTGCCTTTTATTTCTCAATTATAACAGTGCAGTGTTTTATTTTTACATTTGATTAATTGGCTTCGGTAGTATTTCTCACTTGACCACTGCCGTGTAGACCTGTCTGAAAAACATGCAGACCAAGTAAGTCAGCAAGCAAATTATTTCAAGTGACAAAATACAGACAGAACGACAGAGCAGAGGAATGATAGAACTAATGGAACTCCAAGTGGATAATGAAACTTGTCACACAATTGAATATGGCTTTTCAGAAATCCCAGCTCTGGGATTTGGCTGCATTATAACCCAAAAGTTGCAAATGGGGTCTTGAATATGCAGCCAACCCCTAGTTCTTTAATTACCTGAAATATGCAGAATAATTATGTCGTGCTGGGGGTGTGATTCCCCGATGAACAATGCAATGGCACGATGGAGGGTGTGATAGACAGAAAACTGACGAGATAATGAATGCTGTCCTCAATCAAGGGCTGTGCTGGAAGCGACCTTGCACCAATTACACACTGACCTTTAAAGGCCTTAAAATAGCACGCAAAACAAGAGGTTTGTCAAAAACACATGCATTGCATGTGACAATATTTCATACGGTTTTGTTTAGTCCTTTTGTGGGATAAAGAAATGTTGTTTTAGATTTTCTTATTCTGCACAACACTGATTAGTCATTTGTGGGAAGAATGATGCTTCACACCTCTGACAGAGAAAGAAGTGGTATTTTTAGCTGAAATGTCACATTCATCATTACAGAATGCTACTGTTATTAAAAAAAATATACAATTTAAAGTGAAAAAAAAAAAAACTAATTAAAGTGAAATGTTAATGTCTAATATACAGGAGTTTGGTCTTAGTGAGTGTAATTACACCGTGAAACAAATTGTTATAAAAGTTTTGTTTCGCTTTTATTTTGAATGTTTATGTAGTTTGACATGGTGAATATGAAAATCACATCACTTTTAACAGTGCTCATAAAAAAATATTTTGGCAACTTATACAAGCTAATCTGTTATGCATAAAACTAAAACTCATAAAACTAATGCATAAAAATGGTATGTACATGGTACATTATGTTTAACATAAACACTTACCAAAAGCGAGTCATCCGAAAACTTCAGAAGTGTACGTTGATTTTTGTCTTTTATGACTAGTCCCACAATGTTCTAGAATGTTCCAGAAAGCACTAGAATATTCCAGAATGTTCCAGAAACTTAGTACGTTGATTTTTGTCTTTTATGACTAGTCCCACAATGTTCTAGAATGTTCCAGAAAGCACTAGAATATTCCAGAATGTTCCAGAAACTTACTTAACCCAGAAACAGAATGTTCCCATCCTTGCAAAAGCAAAATATCTTAAAACAAACAAAAAACATGCAAAATTAGTACAAAAAATATAATTATGATAAAATTAACATTCCTCCTGCTCCAGGAAATAATTGTATATTAAATACTGTACATGTTGTGCATTAGTTTTACTCACTACTTATTCACGCAGTGTCACTATAAATGTAAAATAAATAAATATAATAAAATAAAATAAACGATTCAATAAATAAAACCTAATTATGGTTTTAAACATGTTTTATTAATTATTATTTTATTCATATTTTATTTCATAGACCTATTAGTTCACAATTTTGCATGCAGCAGTCAGCAAATGTGATGTACTTGCTTCTATCTATCTATTCAAGTATACCAGACATTGAATATTACTTTCCCTCCTACAGAAAAACAGAATTAACACAGTTTGCTATTTATCATGCAGCAATTAGCATCAACTAAACATTATTTATTTGTAAAGTTTCCCATCTCCGGACTGAGGAGTTTAAAGAGTTTGGAATGGATGATTTTCCTCTTTGCACTTTTGAAAACAGAGCCCATTAAAGAGATCATCACACTGAAACATGAGCAAAATCCCTTTTAGTGTTGCAACAAATAACAAGCTACAAAAAACAAGCCTTTCTGTAGTGCCAGAGTGTTTTTAAGAGTGTTTGTGAGCTGTATGTTTCCATCAGAGTACTCTAGCATATTTTGTACTGAATCATCTCAAAAGGCTGTCGACTTTATTGTGGAGCTGAAAATGCAGCAGCACGGAGAGGTAAGCATGGCGGAACGACTGCCTTCAGCCAACAAGCAAAGGCAGACCAGCCTCTGTCCAGTGTTAATTAATTTTCTTTGGGTTTACTCCTCCTTGCAGGAAAAGCCTGTCTCACCTGAGTGTGGAAGGGCTTAGCCGAAAGCATTGCAATGACTGAGTGATAAGGGTCTCTTTGTATTTCTCCCACAGCTTAACTGTATACCACGTGCCTGATCTATATGTGTGTCAGCCAGCCGGTGAGGGATCAACCAGACCTGTCAGTGACGTGACAAAAAAGCTGATGATCTTCCCATTGTGTTGCAGTTCTGATAATTTATTCATTTCAAGAAAGCACTCAGATGACAAATTGATTTTTCTTTTAAAATAACGCTCAAGAGCACCGTTTGTATGCAGAAACTGCATCCACACCTATTTTGTCTCACGTCATTTCCTTTGAATATTGGCTCATTGATATTGATTAGCAGTAGATGACTCAGCCTCTTTCCGTTTACAGAAACATGGCTGCTCTATTCAGTAACTCACAGTATAAGTGAAAGAACAATGGAAACTGTCTACGGCCGTGCTTTCTGTTGTCTGTCTGTAGAGGAGACAAAATGAGATAATGCCTGATTAACTGGGGAGGTGGGGTGAACACGGTGGCTTTTTATGGTGTGTCTGCACATTGCATTTTTTTTGTATATTGAGTTGAAGCTAATCGATGGCTGTTACTTGCCAGAGAACCTCATCCTGTGAAGATGGCCATTCAGTGAACTCAAACCAGAGGTTTATTAGTGGGATTCATGAGGCTGCGATACCAGTCCTCCTTCGCGTTTGTTTCCCAGCCTCTCCAGCAGGTTTATGTAACCCTGTGAGGGCGAATGTTTAAAGGTAATTTACAGCCCATTAAAACAAGCAGAGGAGGATAAGAATGAGTGCACGGTGGGGCGAAAGTGAAGTATGGAGTGATTGCCACACGAAAAATAAAAAGACAGGTGAAGAAAGATGATACAAGCTACCAAGTTTATTTGCCTACGCACCTCTACAATGCAGTCCTAAAGAAAAACCTTCTCTTCAAATGCATTCTAGGGCTCTAGCCTTCATTGTTGACCTTAAACAAGTGCTTTCAACTTTATAAGTTTCCACTGGAGCTGTGGCCTAGTGGTTAGTGAGACATGGAGCTCAGGGAGTCAATCAAGTCTGGCTCATAATTTTCTTGTCTTCCCTCAACTATCAATATCAACTATAAAATAATACAAATAAATTTTTGCAACTACATTTTATTCATTTGTTTGTTTTATTTGTCTATTTATTTATTGAATTTTAAATTTTGAAGAAAATGTGAGTGGATCTGAATGCATTTCACCATATTGATATATGGTTGCCAGGATGTTCTGGATGGTTACAAGTTCACTGCTAAGTGGTTTCTAGGGTATTCCGGGTGGAGTTATGTGGTTGTTTACAGGTGCAAGGAAACAGAGCCCTTCACAGATTCTTCTCCAAGACAGTGGTTCTCAACCAAGGGCAGCGGCCCACTAGGGGGCATCTGAATACATAAATAAAGAAATAAAGAAATACATACATACATTTTGGGCACACAAATACTGCCAAAATAGGCAAACAAACCCAATTAATACATATGCCAAATGTTGCTTGATTTGAGGTGACACGGTCAGTCAGATTGGACAGGAAACATGCATCATCTGTGTGCAGCCAAACGAAA